TTTTTTTTTTTTTTTTTTTTTTTTAGTGAGAGCAAGTGTAATCCATTTGAAAATATTAAGTGGTAAACCTGAACAGGTGTTGTGTTGGCCTGTACTCATAAGATCTTCTTGACTCTAACTACCAAAGTCAGTTAATGGTTTGCTTGCAGGTTCTGGTCTATAGAGCATATATGTGCGTGTGTGTGTGTGTGTGTGTAAAATTATGTATATGGCATGGAGAAGGATCTTTCCTTAAGTCTCAGGTTATGATGCAGTATACTTACAACTTGCTTGATTCCTTCATTCTCTTCCCCCAAGTATACTTCCTTTTCCCTCCCATTTATTTTCGTCCGCCCCACATATCTTTTATGTAGACATGTGGATGACCCTTTACCTTGGAGATAAATGGAAGTCTTTTCTTTTCCCCCTTTCCTGTGATGTTGGGGGAAAGTACTCTCAAGGGTTGTAGGGGAGAGGGGCTGGATCATCCATCTTATACTGGACTTGTATTTTTTGGACTTGACAGCATGCAGTAGAAAGAGAACACAGACTATGGAATGGCTTAGATCTGGGATTAAATTCCAAATTTGCTATTTCCTGAGACCTTGGGTAATTTTTTCACCTAGAACCTGTTTCCTCATTTGCAGTAAAACTTCCTTAGGGTTGTTGTAAGGATTGCCAGGATAATACACATTCAGTAATTGTTAGTTCTTTACACCTTAACTTTCTCCTAGGTAATAAACTGCAAATAAGGATTCAAGAACTTATAGTAGAAGTGTAACGTGATGATGACTGCCAGGCACTAGAGAAGCACCTGTGACCCAGAAACACTGGTCTAGCTGGACCTCCTAGTAAATAGAGTTGGAGTAGGGAAACCAGCTCATCCACTCCTTAGAACTCAGTTATGCTCTTGATTTAGTTAATTTCATCTACTAGTTCACAAAATAGTTTTGGACTGAGGCATTACCATTAAATAATGTAATTGAAAGATAGAAACTAGCTCTTGAAACAACTTAATACCTCGTGTTTGTATAACATACATTATCTCACCTGATCCTTACAGCAACTCTTGAGTTAGATTGGGCTGGTGGTATTGGCTTCTTACAGATGAGAACATGGCAGTGACTTACTGCCATTGTTGGCTAGTGGCAGAGCCAGGACTGGGACCAGACTTCTGAATTCCTATACAGCCTCTGCTTCTACCCTCTTTCAGGCAGAAAATTTCCCCATGCTTTTAGGTCTAGGAATCTGATCTCTCTACTTAACTGTGCTGTCTTCTTCTCTAAATTAGAGCCAAATGGTCAGCTTTTAAAGCCACGAAGATAGGAAAAGATATTGTTTCCTGACCGGAGCCCTGAGTAGTGTCCCTACTATTCTATCTAACTCCCTTTATTGAATTATAGTCATGAGGGCAAAAAGTGGCCATTTATGGCAGGGTGACAGATAATTTTTCTGTGCAGCGGGGATTGTTGTCACTGTATGCCCCATGGTAGTGGTAGTTTGAGCTTTTATTAGCAAAGAAAATTATAGGGTGGAGGCTGCCAGAGTGGTAACTGCAGTTCAGGCCCTGTTGAAACCCAGAACTGGAAGAATCTCTCCTAAACTCTTGGTGTGGAAGGTTCATAGGTCATTGTAATAGCAGATATGACAAGTGCTTAAAATGAAGAAATGGAGATGAGATGGGGGCAACATTTTTTAAAAGTAAGAGTACTTATTAAAGACATTTGAATATCCTGTTGGAATGTAGGGTGGGAATATGAGAAAGTAACAGTGGGCTTTGGACTGAAAGGTAGAATAGGATTTGATAAGTGATTGTGGGAGCCCAGAGCTGAAGATGGGAGGAATTTAGAAAAGGTCTACCACATTCTTGGATTTAGGGGCTGGATCCACTGGAAGGAGTCTAGTGATGGAAAATTATTTAGGGAGTTTATTGGGCACCCTTTATCAGTTACTCTGGGTGTTCTTGCTTGCTAAATGCTCCATATACAGGCATACCTCGTTTTATTGCACTTCACAGATGTGTTTTTCACAAATTGAAGGCAAGACCCTCAACCAGCAAAAGATTACAACTCACTTTATTGCAGTGATCTGGAACTGAACTGCAGTATCTTCGAGGTATGACTGTAGTCTGAGGCAAAGAGGCCCAAGTGTACTTGGTGGAGCTCTGTGGAGCGTGGGAAAGGGAACTGAAGCAAAACCTAGGCTAGTCTCCACATGTCTTCCCCACTACACTATTGCATTGGTTTCTCAATATCTTTGTGGGCATGCTGGGACTGGGCTTTGAGGTTTCTGCCTTTGGAGTGGGAAGGAGGGGGAAGGGCAGTCCAACAGCATTTTTTTTTCTTCTTCTTTCCAATTTGGTTGCTGGGAACAGGGGGAAGTGGATTTTTATTCATATTATAACCTGCTCCTGGCTCTGTGTATAAGAACAAGTAGAGGAACCTCTGATATGACAGAATCCAGGTTTTAATGAAAGCTATATCCAAGGTCCAGGTATCTGAAAACAGAGCAAAGTCCAAAGGGCATTTGTCACATTAAGCAGTTCCAAGTCATATTTTCAGTAAGTCCCTTCCATTCCCAGATTGTCTTTCTCCCAGTAGCTGCCCTTGCTCTTCTTATTTTTTAATGTATTGGGTGTATTTATTTTTTCTCTCATTTCCATTTTTCCTCCAAATATTTCTGCAGCTCTCTCCTTCCTGCTTCCTCCTTGCTGTGGTGGCTGGGATGCTTCTTCCATGATTTTTCGAATCTAGACTGGGCTGGTTCTCTGTGTTAAAACAATCAAATTACGACCTTCTCTTAACAGGTGTGTATGGAAATTTGTTTATTAATAACAAAATTTAAGTGTCTTTTTTTTTGAAGGGTGCTGAGGGTGGGGAGTAGAGGAGAGGGTTTATTCTAAAACCTGCCTTTCAACATGGTGTATTTTGGACTGTCCATAAAGTCTGCCATAGCCAGCAAGCAAGAGAGAAACCCCATTAAGTACAATAGTATGACTACAGTGCCCCTCCATTTACTAGCCAGCTTGCAGTTTATGTGATGTGGTATGAGGAACTCTTCATGTCTATTTATCATTTATTGTATAACTAGTACATATAAACCTTGTAGATATTTTTATATTACCCTGAGTTAGAATAAGTAAAGAGGTAAAAATATAGTCTGTTTAGAGCGCCTGTAGGATAACACTGGTGTAGGAAGTTCTAGGCATTGATTGTCTGCAGATTACAATATGAGTTACTCTGAGGGACAGTTTCCTAGTTTGAGTTTGTTTTTGTTTTTTTCTACACAAAGAGCTGAAGGACACTGAAAATTGTTCCTTTTTACACAGAGTTTTTTTGTGTGGTTTTCTTGCTTTCTTGTCTCTGTTAGCCAAAGCACACATTTTGCCCCCAATACTGTAGTATAGTTTTGAAAAGTAGAAAGGCCTCCTTCATAAATGTATTAAACATGAGGACCTTAATTTTATTTCCTGCCTTTGTTGATGGGAAGTTTTTTTTTACTACATCTACTTCTTATTGGTATTTTAATTAGCATATTCATTTTGCCACCAGTGCAGCAGTTTCAGTGTTCAGATTTGGGAGAGATTTTAAGTAAGATCTGTAACTGCCCCTTTATCTCTAGAAATGGCTTGCCCCCCTGCAGGATAGTGGGTGCTTGTTTGTACAACTTTCATCAAGTTGACGCCAGCAAAATTTTCCAGGGAAAAAGAATATAATTTTAATTTCATGTAATGACTACAGCCCTTAGCCACATTCTGCCTTTCCTACCAACAATGTAGAGGCTTGGATCTAGTTGTACCTTTCCTTTCAGTAGGTATTTCTGGAGGGGTGTTAAAGAGGGTAATGGGCAAAGGATTCTGCTTGAGCAGACACACTGGTGATGGGCTCTCAGGCTTGGTGGTGGCTTGCTTTCTGCACTGCAGTAAAACCACAAGGGGGCATCTTTGGCTCTGGGATGAATAATCTGTCTTCTCTGACCTGTGACCTTTTCTCTCCTCTCTCTTACCTTCTCCCGGTAGTGTGAAGTGAGGGGGGGCCTTCTCCCTCCTTCCTCCTCCCTCTGTGATCCACCTTACTTTTTACCCTGCCCTGCGGCGGCTCTGCCCCTTACCTTCATGGACGACTCAGAGGTGGAGTCGACCGCCAGCATCTTGGCCTCTGTGAAGGAACAAGAGGCCCAGTTTGAGAAGCTGACCCGGGCGCTGGAGGAGGAACGGCGCCACGTCTCGGCGCAACTGGAACGCGTCCGGGTCTCACCACAAGATGCCAACCCACTCATGGCCAACGGCACCCTCACGCGCCGGCATCAGGTAACCCCTCTTTCCATCAGACCTGCAGGTAGGACTTTGGCATGGTCATAGAGAGGCTATGATTCTTCTTCGGAAACTACTTTCCTCATGGTGATAGACTGTCCCAAGCCCATGCTCTATGATGAACCTTTACAAGGGTAATAAATACTGATTAAGGGATAGGGAATGTTGCCACTGTGCTGAGTTGGGTGGATTTATCTCTAGAAGCATCTACATGACTTCCTGTTTTTCTGGAGTGGGGTTTCTGGGTTGGTATGCAATTCTAGTAATGGTAGTTCACATAGTTTGGAGCTATATTCAAGTTACCTCTGTTTTCTCTGATCCCCCTCCCCACCTTGGTACTAGACATTCAGGAAAGTAAATGTCTTCTTGTGGTTGGGGAAGTTGGGCATCTGTACTCTCAACTCCAGTTCAGTCTCCTTCAAGAAACAGTCTGTACTCAGGAGGTGTGGCAGTGTCCATAAATTGTATATTCCTGTTCCATATTGTTCTTGTGTGTTCTTTTTGTTGGCTGTGCAAATCATGTCTTGGAGGAAGGGGTCATTGTTAATTCTGTTGGTTAGAGTTGGAGAGGGAGCATCGTGCTGCTGTTTAACCCAAATAACCACAGGAGCCAGTGGTCTCTGGGTTGGCTGACTCTGTGATGTGACTTGGGTGAGTTGGTGTTAGAAATAAGAAGTATCTTGTGTTTCCTCTGGTTTCTCTAGTCTGACTTTGCTCTGATGTAATCTGTCTGAGGTTTTGTGTGTGTGTGTGTGTGTGTGTGTGTGTGTGTGTGTGTGTAATCTCCCTCTAGGCATCGCCTGATAGACTGCATCTTAAGAGATCTCTGGTGGGAACTAAGAACAGTGCTCATGTTTTTTACTGATTGCTTAATTATTTTTTAGAGAAGGTCCCTCATGCTGAAGAACCTGTTGAGTGAGAGGGCAGAATTCTAATTGGGGGATGATCTGGAATTTGGAGGTAGTGTTTTTGCAACGTTCCTAGGATTTTTATAGAACCAGAGTAAAGGATTAGGGATGAGAGATATATATTGAAAGGGGAGAGAGCAGAATTGCTCAGGCTTGGAGGTGGTGGGGAATTCCAGGATTTATAAGTATATGGTTCCCCCTGTCTCTCTCTTTTATTTTTAATTTCTGTTCGCAATGAAACCACACCCTTCCTTCTTCCTGAAAATAATGTTTAACTTCCTCTCCCTGTAGCATTACACTCTCTGTGTAATGGGAGTAGGGTGGGGGAGGAGTCTCCCAAGGTGGCTGGATCTCACTGTATTCTATTGGAAGAGGAGCAGTCATATGTATTTTTATGTAGTATAAAGTCAGTAGTTTATTTCCTGCTCTTTAAGACAGAATTAAAGGTGACATTCTTTATTTTGTTCTGTGGCTTTAATGATTGATGATGAAGGTGTTGAGATATCTGTTTGCTTGAGGGGAGTTGGGGGTACTTGTTTTCTTCCTACGTGGAAAGGGAGACTCAAAACTCTTGCTCCTTGCTTTAAAAAGCTGCCTGGTATGGGAGTTTCCAGTGGTGGTAGAGCATGAAGATGTGTGGAGCAATAAAGAAGCCTTTTGGAAACTCCCCCACCTAGCCTTTCCAACTTTCCTTATATTCTTTTGGATTTCCAAAAAGATTGTGTGCTGGGGAACTTATCGGAGCCTGTGCTGTTTACTCAGTGTGCCAGGCACTGTTCAAGGCACAAGGGGATACACTATTGAACAAAACTGCCCCCCCACCCCAAAACACATCTGCTGTCATGGAGCTTGCATTCTTATGTTCCAGAGACCCCATCTGCCCAAGTTTCAGGTCCAGTTCCAATTTTGAGAAAGTGCTAAGATTAAGGAGTGATGTGGTTCTTCTATGAGTACTGACAGAAGGACTCCAGGCCACAAATATCTTCTTGAAAGCCCTTTTCCTGTTTGGAAAAAAAGATCATTTATGTTTGATAGAGCAAAGGAAGGCCGCAAAATGAATTGTCTTCTTGTGGGCTATGTTTCAGAACGGCCGGTTTGTGGGCGATGCTGACGTTGAGCGACAGAAATTTTCAGATCTGAAACTCAACGGACCCCAGGTAATTCTTTGGCCTCAAGGTCTGGGTTGCATCATGCATATCTTCATACTTCCCCAGCCTATAAGAGCATATGGGTGTCTTATAAAGTGCCTCGCACATTGTAAGCACCCATTAATTAGTTTCTTCTATTTAGGAAAATAAAAGAGTGGAGCTTTAAAGAATATATGTAGTTTTTATTTTGGAATGGATGTTAATGACCATTGATCCAGTATTTGATCTCTCAATTACTGTGTTCCCTTTCCAGAATGGGTGTGCGTCTACTTTGTAGAAAATCCTACCTAAGCTCTGGCTGGTCTTGATCCTTAGGCAGTACCTGAAGGGTAACACAGAGCTAGCCAGAAGATGGCTCGTATTGAGATTTCCTGGTTCATCTTAAAAGTTCTTTTTTGGGTGAATTTTTCTGAAGGACCATTCAGAAGTAGATGTAGCGGCACTTAACACAGTTCATATTCACTTAAATGGCCAGAAATGGGAAGTTAAATCTGCTGTCTCTGTCATTTGGTTGTTGATATGGCTGTAGTTAACTCAGTTCATATTTGTTAGAACTGGGAAATTATATCTCCTGCTTTTCTGTACAAGTTCAAAAGATGAGGACAGCCACCCCTCTAAAATCCTAGGGCTTTTAGAAGATGCATGAGGAGGTACTGTCTTTAGGGAGACAGTGCTTCTCATTGGGATGGATTGTTACTATATATGGCTTGATAGTAACTCTTTTCCATATAGGATCACAGTCACCTTCTCTATAGCACCATCCCCAGGATGCAGGAGCCAGGGCAGATTGTGGAGACGTACACGGAGGAAGACCCTGAGGGAGCCATGTCTGTTGTCTCTGTGGAGACCTCAGATGATGGAACCACTCGCCGCACAGAGACCACAGTAAGCTAAGATTTGTATAAGGGTCAGAGATGATGGAGGAGGTCTTCCTATAGTTTCTATTAGGGGAGGGGTTGAACACTTAAGGTGGATGAAGGGCCACTGATTTGTAGTGAAAGCATCTTAGAGTGGTCTAGAATTTAAGCTTATATTCTATACTTCATTAATTTTTTTCTTTTAAATCTTTACCTTGAGGACATTTTCATTGATTTTTTTTTTTTTTTTTAGAGGGGATTGGGGGCAGGAGGGCGGGTAGATGAAGAGAGGGGCGCTGGGAGAGAAAGAAACATAGATGGTGTGTCCTGACTGGGAATTGAACCTGTGACCTCTTGGTGTATGGGACGGCGCTCTTATCAACTGAGCTACACTGTTCAGGGCTTCATTAATTTTCCTTTTCTCTTTCCTTACTGAAGGTCAAAAAAGTAGTGAAGACTGTGACAACACGGACAGTACAGCCAGTCCCTATGGGACCAGATGGGCTGCCTGTGGATGCCTCATCTGTTTCTAACAACTATATCCAGACTCTGGGTCGTGACTTCCGTAAGAATGGCAATGGGGGACCTGGTCCCTACGTGGGGCAAGCAGGCACTGCTACCCTTCCCAGGAACTTCCACTACCCTCCTGATGGATATAGCCGCCACTATGAAGATGGTTATCCAAGTAGCAGTGACAACTATGGCAGTCTATCCCGGGTGACTCGCATTGAGGAACGGTATAGGCCCAGCATGGAAGGTTACCGGGCACCTAGTAGACAGGATGTCTATGGGCCCCAGCCCCAGGTTCGGGTAGGTGGGAGCAGCGTGGATTTGCATCGCTTTCATCCAGAGCCTTATGGTCTAGAGGATGACCAGCGTAGCATGGGCTACGATGACCTGGATTACGGCATGATGTCCGATTATGGCACAGCCCGTCGGACTGGGACACCCTCTGACCCTCGCCGACGCCTCAGGTAGGCAAGAAAAGGAGAAGGGAAAGGGTCTTTCCAAGATATTGAAAAGGTATAGCTCCTCCCTTTCCTTCTAAGTGCTTTTTGGGATTAAAGATACTTAGGGCCTCCTCTCCTTTGGTTTTTTGTGTGGAAGTCCACCCTCTTCTTCCCTTTTCTGATATTACTAATTATTGACTTGCTTTTTTGTCTAATTTTTTAATTGTAAAAGTCATATATTTTAATGATAGAAAATGACTTGTGATGGTTATTGGTCTTTGTCCTAAACAGTGGCTTTTGCCTCTTGTCAAAGTTTCTGTTATTTGTGCCTAACATTTGACCCCCTTTGATGATAGGGAGCACCACAAAGGAGCCCGGTGCTCCTTTGGAATATTCGTTTCTGTGAATTTCTTCAGCTTTTGGTTTTATATTAACAGAGTTAAGGATTTTAGGCTTTCAGGGTCAGAATAGACAGATACAAGAACCCTCCCTGTCTTGGTTTTAATCTCAAGTTAAAAACATATCTTGATCTTGCAAAAGCCCTGACACTTTGCACTTAGGTTCTTATATTTGCTTATAAAGTGAAGCCAGGGGTGGCATCTGTAGAGGGTGGTACATTATTGACAGGAAGTAGCTGTCTCTTCTGACTTTCCTACTCATCCCTGGGGATTCTTTGGTGATCTAAAAAGGAAGTGATTGGTGTTTGGACTGGTTGGTAGATGATTTGCCTTGAGTGAATGAATGAGAATGGGGGTTGACAGACCTTTTCTGTAAAGAACTATTTTAGTCTTTGCAGGTCATATATAATTTTTGTTGTGTATTGTTATTGTAGTGGTGTTCTTTTTAAAAATATAAAAACTGTTTGTAGTTCTGGGACTGTAGGAAAACAGGTTTGGCCAATGGACCACCAGCCCTGCCTTTTTAAAAAAAATTGATTTCAGAGAGAGGAAGGGAGAGAGAGAGAAACATCAGTGATGAGAGAGAATCATCAATCGACTGTCTCCTGCATGCTCCCCTACTGGGGATCGATCCCGCAACCCAGGCATGTGCCCTGACCTGGAATCGAACCGTGACCTCCAGGTTCATGGGTTGGCGCTCAACCACTGAGGCACACCATCAGGGCCCTGCTTTAGAATAAATCAGAGACAGTGTTTTCTAGTTAAAGAGAATAGAAGTAAGGGAGAAGATTTATGGATATCTTGATGGTAAGTATAGCCTAGCAGCTTTTGCTGAATTTCTGTATGAGGTCATGACCTTCTAAAAAATGCCTTGGTGCTCCCTTTCCTCATTAGGTAGCTTTGGTTAACAGTGAACTGGGTTGGGCCCAGGGGTATAGGCCCCATTATCTAAGCCTGAGTCACTTGCCTTTCAGGTAACTTGGACATCTAATCCAACTCCCATGTGACTCACCTTTTATTCTTGGGTGTGGGGGTTGGGTGGGGGTTGGGGTGGGGCAGCAGACCTCAGCTGGTACAACTCAACTTGGAGCAATGGTCAATAACAGCTATCACCTAAGGAGTCTGCCCAGGGTGTTGGCTCCTGCTTACTGACTAGTCTGCCTTTTCTGACTTCCTCATTAGTAGAGTGATTGGGCCTAGGTGGGTGTGGGTGGCCAGGTCATTCTCTGCTGTCCCTTGCTGTGGCAGTTGACATAGAGAAGGTTTTTTGGCCTGGTTCTTGGGTTTGTTCCAGGGTAGCACTGGACTTGGAAACCTGCTTGACCAGAAAGAACATTTGCAGCTTCCTGTTCCGGTCCTAGGAGGGTAATTCAAGGTCAAACAAAAACAGTAAGGCATAATGATTAGTGGAAAAAGCAATGAACCAGAAGATTGTAGTTCTAGTTGTGCCTTTGCCGCAGGCTCTGTAGCCTTGAGCAAGTAATTTAATCTTCCTGGGCACAGCCTTGTTATTGGTAAAACAAAGGAAAGAATGTCATGATCCATCAGTTGTAAAGAAGGACCTAAATCTTGAGTGACCCAAATCTTAGTTATTGTAATTGCTTATATTAAAATAATAATAAAAGTTAAACATGCTCAGTACAAAATGAGAAGAACCCTGAAAAGCACACCATCCCCTAATAAAGAACTACTGCTCACACTTTGATGCATTTTCCCTTTGAGTTCTTTTTCTGTGTATGTAAATGGACCTGATTGTATTTTCCCCTACTAAAATAAAACCTTACTAACGTACTATTTAGTAGCCTACTTTTAAAATTTAGCTATATAACCTGTTCATTTTATTTCAGTGATTTTAAAAACCAGTGATTTTTGCTAAATGCTTTGTTCATCTAAATCACTGTTGAGTGGTTGATGTTGACAGCTGTGAGGCAGGCCCTCTGCTTAGGCTAACCTTGAGGGTTTGGTGACAGTGGGAGTGGTTTTGTGGAACAAACAACGGTTTTATTTGGAGAGCTCCACACAAAAGATTCTCCTCTCTCCTGTGGGAGTCACAGAGTGAGATGAGCTCACAGTTAATGGGGTCTGTTCTTTCCTGGTGGTTATGAATAAATGATAGTGTGACAGACTCACCCTCTAGTGGTTGTTGGTAGTACTGAACTAGGAATAATAATCTCTTTACCTTCAATTGCTTTGTCTGTGTTCCTTTTCTTAGTGACTGGCTGGGTATCTAAAACGTGACAGTGATGAGTAGTCTCTATTTTGACAGAATTGGAGGTATTGTCTTTAGAATTTGGAGGCTGGAAGTCATATCTCCAACACATTTGTTGAATAGCAGAGATGACCTTGGGATGGACTGTGAAAATTAATGTTCAGACTTATACCTCATTAGTACTATAGCTAGGTGCTCATGACATAGGAAGCCCTGTACTGTTTTTCTCTATCACCTACCTCCTTTTTTATAATTTCCAAAAGAGGGTAGGGAGAGGCTTAAATATGAAGTGTGTTTAAGGGTCTTATCCCACCAGCTGTTTCCTGTGTGTAAATACCTCATTTCCTGTTTAGCTACGGCTTATAAGAACTGTTCTCATTGTTTGCTGACCTCTCTGTGGTGTTGAGTCAGTTGCTTTGGTGAACTCTGCTGTCTGAAGGTTCATTTCAATCTCTATCCAGAGAAGTTAATAGCTGTCAGGTATCATTAACTGCTAAGCAGGATTTGGTTCTTTTTTATTGCAATTAACATCTCTGAATGCTTGTTACTCTTCTCCAAGCTAGTAAACTTCACAGGAAAAATGATAGTTTTAATCTAGTTGGAGATGGCTTTAAAATTGTTACTTTATCTTATTAAGAAAAATTGATCAGTATATTATTTATGCAAAGCAGAGATCTAGGATCTAGTGTACTGGACCTGGGATAACTCCTATGGTGAGGATGAGGGGATAATGGGAACTGTCCAGGAAACCAGCTTGATAGATTCCTTTTCCCTCTTGGTTCTTCCAACACTGCAGGAGCTATGAAGACATGATTGGTGAGGAGGTACCATCAGACCAGTACTATTGGGCTCCTTTGGCCCAGCATGAACGGGGAAGTTTAGCAAGCTTGGATAGCCTCCGCAAGGGAGGGCCCCCACCCCCCAATTGGAGACAGCCAGAGCTGCCGGAGGTGATAGCTATGCTAGGATTCCGCTTGGATGCCGTCAAGTCCAATGCCGCTGCATACCTGCAACATTTGTGCTATCGCAATGACAAGGTGAAGACTGACGTCCGGAAGCTTAAGGGCATCCCAGTACTGGTGGGATTGTTAGACCACCCCAAAAAGGAAGTGCACCTTGGAGCCTGTGGGGCTCTCAAGAATATCTCTTTTGGTCGGGACCAGGATAACAAGATTGCCATAAAAAACTGTGATGGTGTTCCTGCCCTCGTGCGATTGCTCCGAAAGGCTCGTGATGTGGACCTCACTGAAGTCATTACTGGTAAGCTGTGAGCCTAAGGGAAACTGCTAAAGTGTTAGGGTCACTGTTACTTCAGAGATGTTGAGAGCTAGAGGGATTTCTAGTCCTTTTACTTTTGATTAAAGTTGTGAACTGGTGGCCATAGGGTCAAATTCATCTCACAGGTTTGTTTGAGTCATGCAGGGTTTTCAAATTTTAAAGAATTTGTTGCTAATGTTTAAAATTCAGAAGATTTCACTTAAGATTCCCAGATTCTTGGCTTCTATTAAAAATGTGCAAGAACTGGTATCATTGGATCTGTTTTGCTACTTGACAGTAGTTGGTCTTGAACTGATTGAGGCATGTGCTCTCCAGTTTGCAGTAATTCCCAGCACATTCTGTTGTTCTGACCAACTACTGCCATAAGTTGTCACACAAATATTGAAGCTGAGTGTCATTACTATTTGTCCATGTTCTTACAATTTCTTTTTAAATATCTGCTTTTCCTGACTCACCTGCCGCCATGTGTAGACATTTGAGCTTGTGGTCCTTTCTTTAGAAGAGTGGTTTTTCAGATTATGGGTTGTAATTTGTTAGTGTGTATTGAACATAATTTTGTGGATCACAATCAGCATTCCAAGAGAAAGGAAGGAAGGAAAGAAGAAAAGAAATTGCAGTAATGATTGATTTTCAGTTGGGGGAAATCTTGCATTCTAGAAGATATTTGTAATGTCTGAAGACATTTTTGGCTGTCATAACTGGTGGTGGGATGGAGGTGGGAAGAGCTAATGAGTAATGGCTATAGATACTGCTAAATATTTAACAAGGGACAGGACAGCTCCCCAGAACAAAGAATTATCTGGTCCCCAAATTCAATGGTACAGCGGTTGAGAAACTCTGGAGTTGATAGCTCAGAGAGCATTGCTTATAACACATATTGTTTTTAAAAACTGTTTCATGATATGTGTGTTTGTATTGAGCCATAATGTAAAATATATTTCTTACTGTGGATCACAAACAAAAGCCTGAATATCATTCATTACAAGGTATTTAGTCATTGGGGAAGACTGAGAAATGATGGAATAGGGGATTCTCCTTGGCATTCTTCACACATGTTTTGGGTGCTGAAGAGCTGTCTGACGAGTTGTCTCTGCCAGGAACCCTATGGAATCTTTCATCCCATGACTCAATCAAGATGGAGATTGTGGATCATGCTCTGCATGCCTTGACAGATGAAGTGATCATTCCGCATTCTGGCTGGGAGCGGGAACCTAATGAAGATTGTAAGCCACGCCATATTGAGTGGGAGTCTGTGCTCACCAACACAGCTGGCTGCCTTAGGTAACACAGGGCTTTGAGAGTATGAAGACTGAATTTTTGAAGACTAATTTAAATTTCTATAAAAAGAAAGTTTAAATTCTTTAGCCTGTCATTCATTCTCCATTCTATCTATATTGCAGGCTTTGACTCCAACCTTTCTGCCGTTGTCACTTCCTTGTGTACCACATATGCCCATGATGTTGGTTTACTTGCTGTTCCATACATATCTTCCTCGCTTCTGTGTCTCTTTGACTTTGTTCATTTAATTTGGTAAACATCTGTTCAGTACCTGCCACATGTAAGGCACTTGTCTAGTCCTGGGTTTGTGTCCCTGCTCTCAATATCTCTATTTCAGGTCAGGCTGTGATCAACACAACGAAAAGAATATGAAGTCCTAGAAGGGTGGGGGTGGGGTGAGGAAGATCTGTTTTTTTCCTGTCTGTAATGCCCTTCTCTCCTTATTTATCTTTCGAGGCTAAACTCAACCTTTATTTCTTGAAGGTTTTCCCGATTTCTTCTTACATCCTGTAATTGGTACAATACGTTCTTTCTCTCTTTGGGATATACTCCTATGTGCTCTGCCTCATTCTTCACTTGTAGAATGGAAGCTACAAGAAGTATCTTTCTATTTCATCTTAAATTATTGTGTGGTTGGTATACTTTATTCACCCCCCC